GTGGGGGGGGGCTGTGGGGGCTATGGGGGGGAGGGGGGGAGTGGGGCTATGGGGGTGTGTGGGGGGCTATGGGGGGGGGCTGTGGGGGGAGGGGGGGGTGTGAGGGCTATGGGGGGGGGGGGTGTGGGGGCTATGGGGGGTGTGTGTGAGGCTATGGGGGGGGAGGGGGGGTGTGGGGGCGGCTGTGTTGGAGGGGGGCTATGGGGGGGGGAGGGGGGGGGGCTATGGGGGGGGAGGGGGGGTGTGGGGGGGGCTGTGTTGGAGGGGGTTGGGGGGGGGGGGGCTATGGGGGGGGGGGGGCTATGGGGGGGGGGGGGGTGTGTGGGGGCTGTGTGGAGGGGGGCTGTGGGGGGGGAGGGGGGGTGTGGGGGGCTTGGGGGGGTTGGAGGGGAGGGGGTGGGGTGATTATTGTCTAAAAGAAACCTATGTGATTTGAGTTGGAGTGAATGAGACTGTGTGCAGTTGGGCTCCTTGTTATAGGAAAGGTGTTCAGGCACCGGAGGTGAGGATGTTGTCTGGAATAAGGGAATATGGTGTCAGGAAGACCCTGCATAAATGGGGCTTTTTTCGTTGGAGCTGAGGGGGGGTGCGATAGAGGTGTATATGGTGATGGGAAGCTCTGAGAGAGGGGAAGGAAAGGATTATTTCTGAGGGTTGGGGAGTGGGGTCGAAAACACAAGGGCATTGGAGTCCTGTCGTCCACGCCTCTGTTTACCTCACAGGAACCTGGTTGTTAGTCGATAGGCGGATCACGTTTCTGGGAGTAATAATCCCACAAAAACAAATAATAATTTGGTCACTCAATCCACGACTGTTTGTGGGACACTACTGTGCAATTGGCTGCTGTGTTTTGCCCACAAAATAGACAGTCACTACACTTTACAGTATATTCTGTGAAGCGCTTTGAGATGTTTCATTGATAAGGCGGTGTATCAAATGCGAGGATTATTATTAACATCAGACGCGCGAGGGAGGTTGAGAATGGAGATTAGGGGGATTTTGTTTCCATATGGAGCGCACAGGGGGGTGTGGGATTCTCCCTCAGTCAGTTATTGGGGCGGCACTTTCAAACAAAGACTGGACACGTGGTTGAGGGAGAACGAAGTTAACCACAATAATAATCCTTCCGTATACTGTCACGTGAATTAATTGTATATTTTGTGGGTGAAATGCGACAGCCAATTGCGCACAGCAGTGTCCCACAACCAGTCATGGAATCAGTGACTAAGTTGTTATTATTATTTGGGGAAAGGGCTGGAGTGCGGGACTCAGGACAGGATGTAAGATGGAATCCCGTGTGAAGTATAAACTTCGGCTGGACTGTCAACAACAACTTGCATTTATATAGTCCCCCTTCACACGGGGCAGCGTCTCAAAGCCCTGAACTGCGGAGTCTGACTGTGGATAACAAGCTCAGTACTGGGGTACCTCAATTGCTCTCACTCTCACCTCAGCTTCCCAATGAGCGCAGAGGAAGGGGAATTTTGTTTGCTCAGCCGGGTGCCAGTCCTTTGCATCCCACTTGCATGGAAATCCCAGAGATAGACTGTTGGAATGGACTGCGCTCTCTCCTGGAAGGGATGCATCCCGCTTACCTAATTCCGGAGAGTATTAGGCTCAGGTTGGCAAGAGGCAAGGTTTGGGGGGGCCCCAGAGCGTGTGTTGGGGTAACTGCTGGAGTTAAAACCGCTTCTGCCCCCAGTGACTGGTCGGCCCTTCCAGGTCCTGCTGATGAGCCGGGCCGGGCTGTGCTGCCATCAGCAGTGAGTGCCCCGGGACACTGCGGCCCCTCCTGGTCAGGACCCGGACTGGAGACCGGCTCAGAGGGGGGGGGGCTCGGTTCTGATATTCTGTTCCCAAACATGTCACCCTGGAGCCAGTTCAGCCCCGAGGAGACCGCACATACCCCCCCACGTGTAGCAGTGGTGAGTCGGGCAGGGTTGCTGATTTGCGATGACCTGGATCCCAGTGTAGTGGTGGGAAGGAACTCTCTCTCTCTGTCCCTGTGATTTCTCCACCTTTGTTCATTCCTATCGTTTAGATATTACCAGAGATGTCCGAGATTTATTCCCCTTTCCCCATCCCCCTTTCCCCATCTCCCAGCCCTTTCCCCGTCTGCCTCAAAGATCCCTGTGCACTATTGGAAAATAGCAAGAAGCGAGTCTCTCTCTCCCGGTCCTGGCCAACAATCCCCAAAATAAAATTGGTCACTCACTTCATGACTGTTTGTTGTACTTCACTGTGCGCAATTGGCCGCCGTGTTTCAAACACAAAATACAGTGACTTGAGACGTCTCGACAGTGTGACAGGGCGCTGTGTCACATGCAAGGATTATTTATTTTAAGGGACAACTGGCTTTTCTGGTCTCTATCTGCCTATGATGTTATTGCCTCACATCACTGGTATCAGCTGATTTCCCCTGAGGCCTCTCTGAGATGTGATGTCCTGTGTCTCAGTCCTGAAGGGTCTTCCCTGTGGGGAGTGGGTGAGGTGCTGGGGAGCAGAGAGCAACAGAAACAGGTTATAGAAAATGAAGAACTTACATTTTTCAGAGCCTGGAATGCCTCCAAGTGTTTCACCGCTAACCTGTCCGCGCTCTGCTCAGCGGGCCCCGTCCTGCTCCACGTCCCCCGCCAGCCCCGACCTACCATTGGCGGTCAGGCCTTCTGCCTCCCACCCTTTGGAACTCCATCCCACAGTCCCTTTGCCTCGCTCCCTCCCTCGCCTTCTTCGAGGCACGTCTCAAGACCCTTCTCTACAACCGTTCTTTCGGTCACCCTCCTACCCCCACCCTCCCTGCCCTCCACCCCCTCCTGATCCCAACCCCCAGCTCAGGTCCAAATCCCTGACTGTCCAGCACGTTGGGACGTCCTCCTGACGTGAAAGGTGCTGTGCAAATATAGGTTGTTGTTGAAGTGACTGTTCTGTAGGTAAATACAGCAGTTGTTTTGCCCAAGGAATTTATTTTCGCCGGAGAGAAACTCCCTTGTCTTTTCCAATATTGTCAGATCTTTAATGTCCACCTGAACAGGCGCAGACAGCTGATAGGATTGCTGATTTTAAATTTCTAAAAGCACTAGATAATGTAGATCATGATACGTTGTTTTATCTTCTGTTGAAAAGTAGAACCAGAGGACACGGCCTGCAATTAAAGGGGGTATTCACTATTTCAGTGAACGAGTAGTAAACGGGCTCCTTGGGGAACAGAAAGCGTTGATTCATTCAAATGCAAAGAGATAGATTTCTGTAAGGAAATAATGACTGGGGATACCGTATATGAGTAGTTCAGGACATGATGTGTGCAAGCGGCTACCAGGACGGTGGGAGGCAAACTGGATGGACCTTGGTCTTTTTTCGTCTAGCAATTATAATAATCCTTGAATTTGATATGGAACCTTATCACGTTGTTGACGCATCTCAAAGTCCTCAAAACATTTCATAGGAACAGAAAGGCCCTTCGAGCCTGTTCCTCCATTTTACAAGATCATGGCTGATCTGTACTCAACTCCAAATACCTGCCTTTGCCCCATATCCCTTGATACCCCAACCTAACAACAACAACTTGCATTTATATCATGCCCCTCACGCAGGGTAGTGTCCCAGAGCGCTTATCTATCCACCTCAGTCTTAAAAATGTGATTGGATCCAACATCCACAGACTTTCGGTGGAGATAGTTCCAGATTTCCTATGTTTTTCCTATGCTTTCCTAATGTCTAATCCGAAGGACGGCACCTCTGTCAATGCTGCACTCCCCCAGCACTGCACTGGGTGTCAGTCTATTATGATTAATGAGAGTAATAACCTTGTGACGGGGGGGAGAGGTGGTGTGTGTGTGGGACTGTGTGCCGGGATGGTTTGTTTAACTTGCTCTCTCTGTCTCTCTCAGGGCCCATGCCTCGCCCCAGTCCCCGTCGCTGGCTCGGGAAGGCTGGACAGAACTACAGATGTCGCCGGGCTCGCTGGGCGTGCAGTCCACAGGAGAGATGGGGTGAGAGATGCCGTTAGAGATAGCATTCCGCTTCGCTGTGCCGGGGATTGTGTACAAAGGGGGAAACGGGTGAACAATTTGACCTTTCACCATTGCAAATTTCTGTTGGGAAATTCAGTAATATCTGGGATACAGTATGTCGTTTGGGACACAACATGTCAAGCAACTGCCAGGATGGTGGAAGGCAAATTGAATGGATCTTCTTCCGTCTTGCAAACCTTACGTTGCGTGGCTATGTCGACATGTTACCTGCTTTGACTCAAAGTCATGTACCCCTGTTACAGACAGGTCACAGAGCTGTGGGAAGGGTCCCGGGGGGAACCACTGGGGTGTGGACAGAGATTTGACATCAGTATAGGACAGTCTTGAGACTGTACTTTTGGACATAGGAAATGCGAATGTTATAGTATAAAAAGGGAAGTGTGAAGGACCTGTCAGGTGGAAAGTGATCTCGTTCACAGCAAAGCCTAATGGGCCGCTACGCTTAACGGGACCTGCGATTGAAGGGGGTAAATTCAGAACAAATCTGTGGAAACAGCCTGTCATGATCTACCTTGTCTATCATTGTCTGTCATATCAGGGAGAGGCTGTCTGGGAGGGGGCAGTGGTCTTGTAAGTGTAAACACCACCACAGACTAGTGCGGCTGAATGACTGTGCACTCTGTATAATTCTAGTCACATCATCCTTACCTTAAAGACCCTCCGCAGTCTTGCTTCTCCCTACCTCCGTGACTTATTCAATTTATTGGAAGGTGGTGATTCAGTGCCACCAAAGGGCTTTCCTTAGCCCGGCCTCTCCTTTGCATTAGTCACCGGTAACAAAATAATTATAATCCTTGCATTTGATGCAGCGCCTTATCCCGTCTTTGAGACATTTCAAACTACTTCACAGAATATACTGTAAAGAGTACTGTAGTGTCGGGTGCATACTTCTCGGGCGAAAAGTGGCAGCCAATTGCGCACAGCAGTATCCCACAAACAGTCAAGGATTGAGTGACCAATTTTTATCTATTTTTTGGGAGGGATTATTACCCCTGGAAAGTGGTCCGTCAATTGTCTTATCAACCGGGTTCCCACTTACTGCTCGGTAAACAGGTGTGCGTGGAGTAAGGAAACTCCTGGTGTGTGAGCTTTAGCGGTCTTTTTCCTCGGAGAAGCGAATGGACGGGCTGAGTGGGGCCGGTTGGTACTGGACGCTGGCACACGCAATGTGTGAAACGCTCTGAGCTGACGACGTCAAAGATATTTACTGCAAGTGTGAGGATTATTGTCATTACAGGCGACAGCAATACGCATTTATATAACGCTCAACTGCATCTTTCTGTGGTCGTGTGCTTTTCCCCTCGGTTTCTGTTAATGATAAAAATAAGTCTTGTATTCGATGTAGCGCCTTATCACGCTGTCAAGATGTCTCAAAACACTTCGCAGGATATACTCCACAGTGGTTGACTATATTTTGTGGGTAAAATGCGGCTGCCAGTTGCACACGGTCGTGTCCCACAAACAGTCTTGGAGCGAGTGGCCGATCTTATTTGGGGGATTGTTGACCGAGAACTCCCTTCTCTTTTCGAATAGTCGATCAACTTCACATTATGTCTTGTGAAGCGCTGTGAGACGTCTCAACGACATGATAAAGCACTCTATAAAATGCAGGGATTATTGTTATGTTACTGGGCACACACTGCAGGCGGGTTGGTGCGAGCAATGCCTACCCCCTGGTCCCTCTCTCCGTGGGGTACAAAACTCCGCAATGTTGGTAACCCGCCGTAGCGATCAACGCGAGTCACGATGAGCTGTCACTCAGCTCACGCTCTCATTTACTGGTCTGACGCTCCTGTCCCAATGCTGTCACTCGGCGCAGCTGTGAGTTTCTCTCTCTTGCGGATCGGAAGAGTTTTATGTTTTAAATTAAATCGCTTTTCACTTCAGAATTCTTCCTCAAACGCTGGGAAGCTTTACACGGGTTCCGCCAGGAAGGAAGGGATGAGTTCGTGTTCAGTTTCGCCCCCAAAGCAACAGAATCGTTTTTCCGAGCGCAGTAAACCCTCAAAGCGAATAATAATGTGTCGCTCAATCCCCGACGGTGTGTGGGACGCCACTGTGCGCAATCGGCTGCCGCGTTTCACCCACAAAATACACATTAAATTCACTTTACAGTATATCCTGTGAAGCGCTTTGAGACGTCTCGAAGACGTGATGAGGCGCTGTATCAAATACGAGGATTATTATTTTGTTATTTATTGCTGATTTTACACCCAAGTCCTTCCCCCTCAACGTCATCCAACACATCGTTGATGAACATGTGGAACAGGGTGGGCGACGATGAACGCCTTTTCTTACCCCCCTTTCCAGAGGGATGGGCTCAGTCAGTCCACTGTCACCACTTACACAGAGCTTGGAGTTGGGCGACACATTCCTCCCGGATTTGACCATTAATTCCCATGGCTTCCAGTTTCACCGCGAGAGCTTCTGAAGGCACTCGGCCGAGAGCCTTGATACTGGGTTGAAAGAGCTCAGGCGGCGGAAGGAAGATTTGGGATTGTTCCGGTGTAGTTACCCCCTCTTGTGGAGCGATGCAACCGATTGATCCCACTTCGGGTCAGAATTCCCTTCCCGGCCCTGTGCCGTGCCGGCTTGTGAATTGCCTTTGCCGCAGGCTTGTCTTGCTCCGAGGAAGCTTCGAAGACCTCTGCTTTCCCCTGATAGCTCTCCTTCTGTAATTACCCCCATTTTTTTTTTTGCGGGGGGTGCAGGGTCGGTCAGCCGGGCGTCTGGCACAAGCGGAAACCCGTCACCAATCCACGCTGAGATGTCCACCCCTCCCACCCGCACTCGGACTGCGCTCGCTCTCCCTGGAGGGACGCAGCCCCGCTTAACTGACTCTGGAATGTATCAGGCGCAGGTTGGCGAGAGCCAAGGCTTGGGGACCCCGGGGTGTGTATTGGGGTAACTGCTGGAGTCTAACCCCACTAAATAACGGGAGCGCAGGACGTGCCAAACCGCTCGCTGCCATGGCTGTCCCCTTCTGCACTCCGCCGTGCCGTTGGTGGACCACGGACCGGAAGCAGAGGGAGCGGCCGCCGCCGGCGAAGGGCTTTGCTCCACCTTTGAAGCGGTGGTCCTGACGTGTTCCCGTCTCCCACAGGGAACAGCGGAGGGTCAGAGCCGCAGTGTCAGCTCCTTCCTCTCCGAGTCTTGGCTCCAAGATGGCGGCTCAGTGCTGGGGTGGGGGGGAGGGTACAGCAAATACCCTCCCTCCACCCCCAAGCCCCTCCACCCCACCACAGCCCCCCTACCCCCTCCACCCCCCACCCCACCACAGCCCCCCCCTCCACCCCACCACAGCCCCCCCCTCCACCCCAGCCTCAGCCCCTCCACCCCACCACAGCCCCCCCCTCCACCCCACCACAGCCCCCCCCCCACCCCACCACAGCCTCCACCCCAGCCCCTCCACCCCACCACAGCCTCAGCCCCCCCTCCACCTCAACCCCTCTCTCCACCTCAAGCCCTCCCCTCAGTGCCGCCCCCCACTCAGCGCCGCCCCCCACTCAGCGCCGCCCCCACCTCCCCCTCAGCGCCCGCGCCCCCTCACCCCCGCCCCCCCTCAGCGCCCCCTCAGCGCCGGCCCCCACCCCCCCTCAGCGCCCCCCAACCCCCCCTCCCCGCCCCCCCCTCAGCGCCCCCGCCCTCAGCGCCCCCGCCCCCTCCCCCCCCCCCCCCCCCCCCCCCCCCTCAGCGCCCCCCCCCCCTCAGCGCCCCCGCCCCGCCCCCCCCTCAGCCCCCCCGCCCCCCCCCTCAGCGCCCCCCCGCCCCCCCCCGCCCCAGCGCGCGGGACTTTGTTTTCCTGTCCAGTTTCGGTTTAATCCAAGATGGCGGCGGCGCGAAGGCGGGAAGCGGGAGAGCGGACAACAACCGCCGCCGCCTGAGCGCGAGCGCTGCCCCTGACCCCCCCTCACCCCCCCCCACCGCTCACCCCACCAACCAACCGCCTCCACACTGCCCGCCGCGGGGCCGCCGCCCGCACCTCGCCAGCTGCTCCCATTGTTATTTTTAATCCCGAAAAAAAAACCCCAAAGAGAGAGAGAGAGAGAGAGAAAGAGAGAAAGAGAGGGAGAGAGAGAGAGAGAGAGGGAGAGGATGAGGGGGAGAGGCCGCGGCTTTGTCACTCTCTGCCCTCTGCTTTGTTGTCAGTTGAGGTCGGCCTGCCGTCAGGTCGGTAAACACAACAGCCTTTTATTCCCATCCCCCCACCCCTCTCCCCTCCCCTCTCCCCCTTCCCCCCCCCCCCCCCCCGGTTTAATTTTCATTAAAAAAAATTTTTGAGGGGAAAAAAAAATCCCACCCCCACCAGTAGATTCCCTCCCCTCCCCTCTGATGTGTGTAATTCTAATTCTCAGCCATTTTGTGGGTTGGCGTTTGCTGGTGTTGGGCGAGAGAAGGAGAGTTGAGGGGGGGGGGGAAAGGGGGTGGATGGGGGGGTTTGGGGGGGGGGGGGGGAGGGAGGTTTATTGCATTGAAATCGCATTAAATAATAATAATTCGGCCGCTTCGATCCGCGGCCGTTTGCGGGCAGTTGGCTGCTGCCCTTTCGCCCACAGCACACACAGTCACTACGCTCTGCAGGGTTAACCGGTGAAGCGCTTCGAGACGTCCCGGAGACGTGATCAGGAGCTGCGGCGACTGCGAAGGGGTTGGTTGTGAAAACACACACACGCGCGCGCGCGCTGAATTCACGACCCCCGAAATACCTCCTCCCCAGCCGAGGGGTAGAGGGCGCAGTTAGTACCGTCAGGTCCTCCCCCCGTGCCTGGGCAGGTTGCGAAGGGTTGTGGTTTGCGTGTCCAGGTGTGGTTCAGGACAAGGACCTATCCAGGCAGATTGCGGAGGAAGGTGGACATCTCTAAGCTGGTCACTCAGTCCGTGACCGTTTCTGGCACGCGGCCGGCCACGCGTTTTGCCCACACAGTACAGTCGCTCCACTTTATTACAATATATTGTGT